TCGTCCAGCAGAGCTGTTTCGGGTGGTCCGGGATCTTCTTCAACCGGGAAACCCGGTGGAGGTCCCGGACTGCTCATCAGCTCGCTGTGATGAGTTTGCTATTCATTTTGAGGAAAAAATTGCTCAGATTCGCAGTGGGCTGGACTCCACTGTTACTGCAAAATCGGAAGATGTGTCCAGTGTGCCGTGCTTAGGTCAAACTTTAATGGATGAGTTTCAATTGTTGAGACCTGATGATGTGGACAGGGTGCTTGGATCTGTCCGTTCTACCACCACTCCGCTCGACCCTTGCCCATCCTGGCTAATTGGAAGATCAGCCAGGGGGGTTCGCACCTGGGTCCAGGAGGCCGTGAATGCCTCTCTGAGAGAGGGAGTGGTCCCTACCGCCTTGAAAGAGGCGGTGATTCGACCACTCCTTAAAAAGCCTAACCTGGACCCAAGGCTGGTGGTCAACTACCGACCAGTGGCGAACCTCCCTTATTTGGGCAAGGTGTTGGAGCGGGTTGTGGCCGGGCAACTCCAGGCGCTGCTGGATGAAACGGATTTTCTGGATCCATTTCAGTCGGGTTTCAGGCCGGGTTTTGGTACAGAGACAGCCTTGGTCGCCCTGTATGATGACCTTTGCCGGGAGAGAGACAGGGGGGGTGTGACCCTGTTGATACTCCTGGATCTCTCAGCGGCTTTCGCCACCATCGACCATGGTGTCCTTCTGGATAGGCTGGCTGGGTTTGGAGTTGGGGGCACTGTTTTACGGGGGGTCCGCTCCTTCCTAGCTGACCCTATCCAGAGGGGGGTGCTGGGGGGCAGTTGCTCTGCCCCATGGCATTTATGTCATGGGGTTCCTCAGGGCTTGATACTGTCCCCCATGCTGTTTAACATCTACATGAAACCGCTGGGAGAGGTCATCAGGAGGTTTGGGCTGAGGAGTCAGCAATATGCTGACGATACTCAGCTCTACCTCTCGTTTTCCACCAATCCAGGTGAGGCGGTTTCTGTGCTGAACTCGTGTCTGGACCTGATAATGGACTGGATGAGGGTTAATAAATTGAAACTCAATCCAGACAAGACGGAAGTGCTGTTAGTGGGTGCTTCGCCGGACAGGTTGGAGGGCCATTTCCCTGCCCTGAATGGGGTTACACTCCCCCTAAGGGACAGGGTCCGCAGCCTGGGGGTGCTCCTGGACCCCAGTCTAACTTTGGAAGCCCAGGTGGACTCGGTGGCCAGAGGCGCCTTCCTTCAGCTGCGGAAATTATACCAGCTGCGGCCCTACCTGGACGAGCGGAGTCTCATGACAGTTACACACGCACTGGTAACATCTCGTATAGATTATTGCAATGCGCTCTATGTGGGGCTGCCTTTGAAGACGGTCCGGCGACTGCAACTGGTCCAGAATCGAGCTGCGCGGCTGGTGAGTGGTGGAGCCGCTAGAGATCACATCAAGCCAATTCTGTTCAATTTACATTGGTTACCAGTTGCTGCCCGAGCCCAATTCAAAGTGCTTGTTTTGACATATAAAGCCCTAAACGGCTTGGGCCCTGGATACTTGAAGGACCGCCTCCTTCCATATGAGCCTACCCGGCAGTTAAGATCTAGCCAGGGGGCCCTTTTGAAAGAGCCATCCCTCAAAGAGGTAAGAGGGATGGCTTGTAGACAAAGGGCCTTTTCGGCAGCTGCCCCCAGACTATGGAACGCCCTCCCAACTGAAATCCGTCTGGCGCCGACGTTGATGACATTTCGGCGCCAGGTCAAAACCTTCCTGTTCCAGAAGGCTTTTAATTGAAATAACAACTGTGGGTCCTGATGATGGCAATTTTAATTGTATTTTAATTGTATTATAATTGTATTTTAATCATCTTATTGTATTGAATTTTAATTATTGTAAGCCGCCCAGAGACCTCTGGGTAGAGTGGGCGGCATATAAATAAAATAAATAATAATAATTGTGATGATAAAGGAACTGGCTAGGCAGCCCTAAGCTGTGTGGGCCCTGCAAAGCATTCGGGGTATTGTAGTCTCCCTGCCCATTAGGCCCTGTGCAGGGTGCCTCTCGGGAAACCACAGCACCCCTAATGCTTTGCAGCACCCTCAGAGAAAAGTGCTCAGGGCTCACACAAGAAGGCGTGGAACACCTTGGGGTGCCTTCCCACGAACAGGCCTCCCATTTGTGCCAGGCAGCACTGCCTGCGTGGCTGGAACAAGCGTGGCCCTGCCCTTGGCTTGTATGCCATTTAAAAACCGAGGATGCTGCCGTTGTTTTGATGCTCCCTGCATTATTTATCCACAGAGGTAGGGTAGTCTTTTTAAAATAGCTTCTGTTCATTTGGGTTTTTTGTTTGTTTTTTAGAAAAACGGTGCTGACAGAGGACTGCTAACTCTATTTTTATACTCAGCTTTCCTTATTTTGCAGACCACATCCACCACCCACCACCACCCCAGCAGTCCCCACTGGAGCCTTCGGGTGGATCAGTAGCTCCATCTTTAGCAAGGCAGTTTTAAAGGGCTGTGTGGCATCTCCACAGTGGGTGTGACTTGCCAAACTGGTATTTTAATCTCAGTGGTTTCAACCCAAACTTCCCAAAGCACAGTTTGTCTGTAAATATGTTACAAAGAATGAGTCACTGCATGCTGAGATAAGCAGATATCCGTAGACTTGAGTATTCCAGAAAAGCCAAGTGTGCTATTTAAGCACTTGAACTGTGTGGCCTGTGGAAAAATTACTGTCAGGAAATCACAGGTCTGAGGACCTCAGGAACCTCCACTCAGCCCCTGCTAGATTCTTCATGGTGTATAAATGCATGTTGACCTCCCCTTACAGGTTTGCCTCCTCCCAGTAAAATGCAAGATGAACAGCTTTTCCCTGGGTGCTTTGGGAAAAATCCCAGAGACTCAGCGAGTGTAGCCATTCTTTCTCAGTCTAAAGTTGAGCTGTTTGCTAAAGCGAAGGTTGCAGGTGACACCAGGTTTTTCCGGATGAAAAATTACAAGGGCAACCTGAATGAGATTGGATGCTTTCCAGGCTGGGCACCAGTGGAAAGAGTCACCTTCAGTGTAGGGAGCAAGGATCAAAGTGGTGAGCAAAAGTCCCAATTTTCACATGTACACACGTGGGGCTTGAATGGGAATAATTTATTCCTGGGAATAAATGTAAATTGTTTTTATGTTTTTACACCATTCCGGATCCCTTTGAAGAGAAGAATGGCATATAAATGAAAACAATAAACAATCAAACACACAACTAATTAAAAAAATATTGGGTGCATTTGCATGAAAGCTCACAGTGGGTCTTCGTGGTGTTCAGAATGAGAGGAACAATTCAGTGCTAGGAATTCTGAGGAAAAGCTGTAAAAAGAAATTCGCAGGTATTTTAATGTTGCCTAAACTCGGGGCGCAACTACCCTGCTCTGTAATCTTTTTGAGGTTGAGAGCTACATGAGGACATGAGGTTAGCTAATATGTGCTGGGATTAAGGTGTGACAAGAGGAATTGTCGTACATCTCCCGGGCAGTGAAATGTTTGTGCAAGTGTGTTCCAGGTCTGGTTGTTGTGTATGCCTGGTCTTTAAACCACTCATGGAGGGGCGCTCCAGGAATGTCATCTGCAGAGGGACACACCTGGCAGAGCATTGTTTTTTACAGTTCACTTCAGACTGACACAACAGTTGTATTCTGCTAGTTGTGCCCTTTGTCGGATAAGGTACTTCCGTCATCAGACCAGATGTAATGATGGCATTTGCATGTTGGGAAATGCCTATGTTCCTGTAAACTTTCTATTGAACTTGGATTCGTCCCCTTCTGAGAGATTGCTTTGATGTTGCTTACAGGGAGCTCTGGCGGAATATGTGAAAAGAGCAAGCTTTATTCGGATGGGAAAAAGAAGTCCTTGAATACGGGCATCATCACTGTGCAGAACTATGGCTCCCACGTGCCTCCTAAGGTCTCTCACATCACCTTTGCACATGAAGTTGGCCATAACTTTGGCTCACCGGTAAGTGTGGCTGTGGTCGCTCTCTGCCTAGCTGGTCCGGCCTGTGCTGCCGGCCAGGAGGACTAGAGAGTCCCTTCGTAGGGTCGTGTCAATAGAACTGGTGGCCGTCATGTGTCCCCCCTCCCCTCAGCCAACAGCGTGGGACAGAGGAAACCTCAGCTTCTGAACTGGATGTTAAAAATGGTCCTGATCTGTTCTGCTTAGGGTCCTGTCCCCGTGCTGTTGAGGGCATGGTGCAGGGGAGCAGCTGCTTCTCGGTCTCCTCCACAGTCGCATTCTGGAGGGCATGCTTCCTGCTTGATGGAAGGCATATTATTTTGTTTATTCTGTATAGCTTTCCTTGTCATCAAACCTACAGGTTTGTGTTACTTTTTTGGCTACAGGGCCCATCAATAAGGACCGAGCCCTGTTCTCTGGGAACCCTCCCTGGGCATGCAGCAGTGAAATGAATAGAACTCTCAGGGAGGGAGGCTTCCGTGCCCAGTCGGAGTTTCTGGTCAAATAGACGAGGGTTCTGAGATTGCTATTTATACGGAGGGTGGATAGATGTGGCTACCGCTTCCCTTGCCAAAATGTAAGCAGCCAGCAGGGTCTGATTTATAAAAGCAGTTTCTTTGTCCTCTCAGTGGCTTTTAATGGCATTAAAATATGGTTATGACCTAAAGTTGCTTATGCTGGTGTTTCAGCAAAAATATCACAATTGCAACAGACTTTTTTTCCTTGCTTTTGTTGGGCACGAACTGAAGCAGAGAAGCAGTTGGAGTCTGCAAAGCCAGTCTGTTTGTTCTGAACGCTGGTCTATGTTTGGATGCTCAGGGTACCCCTGAGTGTCCCAAATGTTTGTTTTACTTGCTTCTAGAGTGATATGCTGCAGTTAAATACACAGCCAGCTTCATTGGGTATAGTGTTTCTTCAAAGCCATTTGGATAAGGCAAGAGTATTAGAGCAGACTCGTTTTTAATGGATAAAAATGAAAGCCACTGTGTTAGTGCATTGAGTTAAATAAAAATAAATGGCGTATCTTTAGGTTGATGTCCTCCAAAGAGTTCTTTTTAGACGATTATAGGAAAGCAGAATAGACCCCTTCCCTTCTCCGCAGCCACCTTTGATTTTGGATTTAAAAACCTTCCTCGCCCTTCCACTGCAGCTCTAAGAATGACTTCTAAGCTAATAGCAAGTAAAAGGTTTCCGATAGAGATGGCTGAGGATTCTCCCTCTTGCAGCATGACTCCGGGACTGAATGCACTCCAGGAGAATCTAAAAACTTGGGACAGAAGGAAAACGGCAATTATATCATGTATGCAAGAGCAACGTCGGGCGACAAACTGAACAACAACAAGTTCTCTAACTGTAGCATTCGGAACATCAGCCAAGTCCTTGAGAAGAAGAGGAACAATTGTTTTGTCGGTATGTATTTTCACCCCAGAATCTTTTGGGTTTGGGGGGGGGCGAGGGGAGAGGATGCCGTTCTGGCACACGGTGACATTTCAGACTCCCCCCCCCTTCTTCTTCATGGAGACACAAGACCTCCAGCAAGACATGCAAAATAGCAGGCTGTGTAAAAAGCCTCCTTGCTTGACATCCTTCAGAAACCTCAGGTGGGCATCTTGTCTGCAGTCCTATCACCCTCGCCTCCCCAAAAATAACCTGGGGGTTTGCTGCTGGCCTCCAGGTTTCCCTCCTGACCTCTGTCTCGGGTCTGGGTGCTTTTCAGAGTCTGGCCAGCCCATCTGCGGGAACGGGCTGGTGGAGCAAGGGGAGCAGTGCGACTGCGGCTACAGCGACCAGTGCAAGGACGAGTGCTGCTATGACGCCAACCAGCCAGAGGACAAGAAGTGCAAGCTGAGGCCCGGCAAGAGTTGCAGGTACCGGGGCTGGCTTTCCATCCTGCTCTCTGAGACGGGGTTCTGGTGGTTTGCCAGCAGCCCTGGGTTCCTCCTGGTATGGCCGGGGCTTGGCTGTGTTCAGCTGAAACAGTCACTGGGAACTTGAGCCTCCAAACGGTTTCTCCAGGCGTAGCTGTGAGTTGGAGGGTGGCCTTGCTTTTGGGGCCCTCGGGTGGCAGGTGCATCTCCTTCGGATGGCCTGTCCGTGCCCGTTTCCATGGCCTTCCACCCCTGCAGGCTGCGGCAGCAGACCAAGGAGGAGCCAGTGCACAAAGAGTGGGAGGAGAGGTGGCCTTGCCCCCTCCTGCCTGCCTTTCCCCCTTGTCTCTGGGCCGTCGGGGGGGGGCAAAAGGCCCACCCTCTGTTCCGCTTTTGGCCCCACCAACCCACCTCTGGCCTGCTCTTCCTGATGGAGTTCTCTTGGGTCGATCGACGGCCGCCTTGAGCATTGGCGACAAGCAGGAAGGGCTGCGGGCCGTCCCGGAGGAGAGGGGCCATTCATGAGCGAGGCAGTAGTTGTCTTTTTTTTATAATGTGATTTATAAACGTCTTGAGCGTGGCTAAAATTTCCCAGGGAGGCTGCCATCCCATTGACAGCGAGAGTCACAGGGTGGCCAGAGAGAGCGAGGGGGGCTTTTCCTCCCCTGCCCTGACTTGCTCAGTCCAAGTTTCCCAGATCAAGGAGGTCTCTGGTTTGCTTTTCTGCTGGTGCACAGAAGGAAAGAGGGCCTGGGCCTGTTCTTCCGGCCGCTGGTGGGGAAGTGTGGAGGTGTGGAGCCAGCGGGTGGAAGGCTGACACGGCTGAGCCTGGCACGGAGTGGGGTGCGGCTTTTCAGGCCCCCTTTCTTCTTCTTCTTCCCCAGCCCCAGCCAGGGCCCCTGCTGCACCCAGGATTGTGTCTTCAGGAAAGAAGGGGCCAAGTGTCGAAATGATTCCGAATGTGCAGAGGAAGGACGTTGCAACGGCAGCTCCTCTTTCTGCCCTACATCGGCACCAAAGCCTAACTTGACCGACTGCAACAGAAACACACAAGTCTGCATCAATGGTGTAAGTTTTCTCAGAGCGGTCACTGCGAAGCTAAAGAACAGACAAGCCCGAGCTTGCATGCCGGTGGCCAGGCCAGTAGCCAGTGTCCTCCCGGTGGGAAGGGGGACCTGCTCTTTTTCAAGGTCTGGTGCTCCACGTGCACTCTCTCTCGGGGGCCACCAAGTCCAGCAGAGTTTTCATGGCATTTGGAGGTCGCGTGTCCAGATTTCTTACTGACAGTTGTTTGTTTAACCAGCCGCGACTGGAGCGGAGTAGGGACTACCAGCCGAATCACTTTCCTTAATTTTAGGAAGCAGGGAGATTCCCGTGTCTCTCTTGAGTCGGAGCGAGGCCGCAAAAGCGAAGTTAGTGCCGTTAAAGTCCCCCTCGCTCAGAGGCTTCATTCCTTCTGTTTGTTCCTTGTGGTGGTTTTTGACACTCCCTGAATTCAAGCCCCTTTCGTTGTCAGGAAGGGACAGAGAGTGTTGTCTGTATCAAAACATTTGGAACGTGCCAAAGTTCTGTGCTTTCCTTCTTGTCCGTGGCAGAATGCTCTGTAGTGTGAATCGCTCAAGGAACCTCTCAGCTTAATAAAGCAAAACACGGGATTAGAAAAGAGGGAGATCGGATGCAAGGGCCGAGCTGGGCCGCCACGCCTCTGATCCTCCACGGGCTAGTTGATTTTTTGGGGGACGGGGATGTTCCTGTGTCTTGACGTAACAAACACAGCCACATCGCCTGTTGTTCCAAGCTCTTCTGACTGCTATAGACTGGGGTTTCTAGCTGTCCCTTTGGCCAGGAACTCAGCCCAGCTTCCTCAGGGGAAGGGGGAGAAGATCCACAGGCAGACGCCAGCGCTTAGCTGTAAGAGCATTCTTGCAGGAATCTTGGAAGCTTAACCTGACCTCTGCTTTCTCCCAGTAAGGAGAACTTGAGGTGGCCAACCTCTCCAAGGAGACCTGAGGCCAGACGTGACCGGTTGCCTTCTCCTCCTCTATTCCTCATTCGGGAGGTGAATGGCAGAGCTTTAGGGTGGGGTTTGGCCAGGGGGTGGGACATCTATGTGCCAGGGCCCTTCGCAGAACAGAGGCCGGCCTTCCAGAATTAAGTGTGTGCGCTTCCTCCCCAGCAATGTGCCGGCTCTATCTGTGAGAAGTATCGCTTGGAAGAGTGCACGTGCGCGAGCACCGACGCTAAGGATGACAGAGAGCTATGCCACGTCTGCTGCATGCAGAAAAGTAAGCCCTGCTCAGTTGAAAACGTCAGGTATTGAGGAGGAAGCTTGGCTTGACGGATAAGGGTTCCGGATCTTTTTGTTCAGTAAAACACGAAACGGCAAAAATCATCCAACGGGGAAATGGGGACCAGATCTCTTGCTGGGGCTCCAGCCCTTTATATGACTGTGCACCACGCGGCATTTATTTGTTTGCTGATCTTTGCAAAAGCTGGTCTTCCCTAACCTTTCGCTTCTGGTTGGAGACGAGCTGCATAAATCACAGAGGTAAATCTGTGCCTGTGCAACTGGAATATTTTTACATCACGATCAAGCAGCAGTAGAGGAGGCTGGAGCTCTGGAGAGTCAGGTGGTTGTGATCAGAGCCACACACCAGAAGTTGGCCTTCATTCCCGTTGGCAGTTCCTTGAATTGGTCCGGCAGCCACGTCTTGAGGAAGCAGGGGGTGAGGTGGGAGGATTCTGGCTTGGCTGTTGCTTGCTGTGGCTTTTGTTCTGCTGCCCTTCCTAAAGATAACATCTGCCCCCCCCCTCCATGTTTCCAACTTTCCCAGTGCGCCCAGAGACATGCGCAAGTACAGGATCTGACGTGTGGAAGGAGTATTTCAGTCACAAAACCATCACCCTGCAGCCCGGGTCACCCTGCAATGATTTCAAGGGCTACTGCGATGTGTTCATGAGGTGCCGCTTAGTAGATGCGGACGGCCCTCTCGCCCGGCTAAAGAAAGCCATTTTCAATCCAGAGTTGTATGAAAACATTGCAGAATGGATTGTGGTAAGTACGAAACAGGAAACCTACAATACCACATTGCAAATGCTGGTAAAAGCTTCACTCTGTTCCAGCTTCTTTTAATTGTGTACCTTTTATTTTTTTAAAAAAAATGCTTTGCCACAGTCCTCCAGTGAGAGGATAATGTCTCATCATAGTGGGCTTGTGGGGTTTTTTTTGTTGTTTTTTTTTTGGTTTATTTGTTTTGAAAGATATGTCATGCTTGGCAGGAGTTTCTGCTCCTGTGACTCATCACAGCAGTGGCTTTACTTGTGTGTCTGATGGGGGGGGGGAGAGAATGAGCAAAGGGTATTGGGACACTTAATGGAAGCCTTTTGGATTTCTGGTGGGACATGATGGTGCTGCGGGTTAAACTGCAGAAGCCTCTGTGATGCAAGGTGGGAAGACCAGCCGTCGTAAAATCGAATCCACACGACGGAGTGAGCTCCCGTCGCTTGTCCCAGCTCCTGCCAACCTAGCAGTTCGAAAGCATATTAAAAAAATGTGAGTTGATGAATAGGTACCACCTCAGTGGGAATGTCACAGCGTTCCGTGTCTAGTCGCGCTGGCCACATGACCATGGAAACGGTCTACGGACAAACGCTGGCTGTACAGGTTGGAGACGGGGATGAGCACCGCGCCCTAGAGTCGGACACGACTGGACTAAATGTCAAGGGGAACCTTTACCTTTGGATTTCTAGTCTCAGGATTTCCTCTCTGATGGCGCCTTCTGGGGTCCTCAATAAATCCACTAGCCTAGTGCATTCCCTCCCTTTTGTTCAGTCCGCTGGGGTGTGTACCGTTTTGCCTGAAGTTTGTATCAGGTGAATGGTTACATTTAATCTCATTTACTTCATTTAGCATTTTGAGACCTCTGAAAATGGGAGTGAGCTCCTGCTAAAGTACGTTGTGAAGATTTAGCATACCTTTTCAAAAGAAAAGGTGTAGATGTTTCTAGCACACATATTTAAGTAAACTCATGTAATTCTGCAGCAAAAGCAAGTTATGAGCCTGGCACGCTGGCTCTCCCCTGGGGGCTTGTGGAGGGAGGTGTAGGCTCACCCGGAGCTCCCTCGAGGCGAACTGGGTAGGGTGCAGCCATGGGGGGCTGTGGGACCGTGTCGTGGTCTCAGTCTCCGTGCTCTCAGTAGTCAGGATTGCTCCTGTTCCATCCCTTTAGGCAGTGCAAGGAAGGGGAGCTCCTGGATTGAAGGATGAAGCTTCCTACGAGGAACACCAATTCTTAGACTGGGTCCATTGCAGTGAAATCTCTTTTGACTAGAGGCATTTTCCGTATGCCCCCCACCTCGCCCCCCCTGCACCTTTTAACTTTTCCTTACTATATGTTAGTTTGGAGAGGCTCCTGGCCAGTCTCTGGGGGTACTCCTTGTTCTTCCAGTCCAGGTGTTGCTTTCCCATCATGAATGGGGGCAGTTGAGGACCTTCCTTGGAATGAGGCAAGCCGGGGGGGGGGGTTGGGGGGGAGGGGGTTCTCTTGCCCTTCCCGTTCAGAGGGCCCTTAAAGATCCTGGAACCTGGCTGATGGAGGCCTCATCCAGCCTTTGAGGAGAGGAGGAGCCGTGACTTTTCGGAGACGTGGAATGCCTTCAAGGCTTGCGCACGGGAGGACTTCCGAAAGGTTCGCTTTTTGCCTTGACTTTCCGTTGTGCTCCTTTTCAGGCGCACTGGTGGGCGGTGCTGCTGATGGGGATCGCACTCATCATGTTGATGGCCGGCTTCATTAAGATCTGCAGCGTCCACACCCCGAGCAGCAACCCCAAGCTGCCACCCCCTAAACCCCTCCCAGGTAAGTGCCTCCCCCTCTCTGGCGTGGGGTGAGGACCGTAGATCTTCTTCTGAACTCCTGCGCCCGCAGGTGAGAAGCCGGCGCTGGCCCCCTCTTGATGGTGGCCTCCTTCTGTTTTTCGGCAGGCACCCTGAAGCGAAGGAGACCGCCCCAAACGGCCCAGCCGCCGCCTCGCCAGAGGCCCCGAGAGAGTTACCAGATGGGACACATGAGACGTTAAGTGCTGGTTTTTTGCCTTGGTTCTTCCTAGTGCCTACCGTGGGAAAATTTCGCTCCAAAGAAAACCTATCTTAAGTCATTGTCCCTGGTCTTAACTTTCAACTAGAACGCAAGCAGCAGAAGAGAAGAGGCAAGACCGGGGAGGGTGTGTGTGTGTGTCTTGGCTCAAGTGGAGAGATTCAGCCGTGGCCTTTCCCGGCCCCCGAGGAGAGGCTTTCGGGCCTGGAAGCAGGTGGCCGTCCGTGCGGCGTTTTCCACCACCACCTCCTCCTCCTCCTCCTCCGGTTCTTTGTGGTTGCCTTTTCTTCACGTGCAGGCAAACGCTGGCCTTTGCGAAACGTTCTCCTCGCCCCATTTCAAGCTAACTCTTTTTCAACTGTTGAGGCTAGGAAGCTGGACCGCCGCTCGCCCCAGGAGCCATTCCTTTTGGCCAGTGTACATAAAAGGGTCACAGGCAGGCCTTGTATTTCTCATGTACACCTGTAACGTCTGTGTGCAGTTGTAAACCAGAAGAATTGCAATATGGATGTTTCTTTGTATTATAAACCTTCTTACGCTCTTAATGAGGAAATTATGGTTTAATTGACAAATACTCAGGATAACAGAGGTTGATGGTGTCCAGGATTCTGTAATGCTTTAATGCAAGAATTGTGAATCACATCAGATCCTTTTTTTTAAAAAAATGTATGTACTCTTAAGTCAGAATTATTGGTAGTGCACGCTCTGAATGCAAGACCCCCCCCCCCCCGCCGGTTGCTCCTCCCGCCCGAGACCCGCTCAGACCCGCTCAGACCCGCTGACCCAAGGAAGACCAGCTCATGAGACCTTCTCACGGGGCCGGG